AAATGCTTTGCTTTCTGAAGCTATGTTACGTGAAGTCCTCTGTGTAATTTGTTCTCTTTTTATTTCTGACTTTAATCATTACCTAGGTATATTTGTCCTTTTCCCGTCATTGTAGCTGCGGAGGCGTTGCCTTTCTCTGAAAAGTAGGTGTACTTCCCCTGACACATGCAACTTTGACTTGTGAATTCGCGCTCTTCAATATTTCTTCTTTTTTTTCATATATTTGATAACTCTGTGTGCTTTTCTTATGAATGGAGAAAATATATGATCTTCTTTGTTGTGACTAGTGGACTTCAGACACTTTTCATCATGCTTCGTTTGCGTCTGGAAATTTGAGTCTCCGTCTAAGAGTTAGACTTTGACTCAAGCTTGCATGACCAAGCTTCCTGTGCCACAATCACTAGTTTTCATAAGATACTAGACAATCAACATTTTGATTTTCTAGTTCATTAAGCATTATTTTGTACAAGTTATTGCATCTGTTAGCTGTAAACAATATGGATGAATCAATTTGACTAATAATACATTTATTTTTGTTGAAGGAAACTTCGTAACCATTGTCACATAATTGACTTATGCTCAGCAGATTATGTGTTAATCCTTTAACATATAGGACGTTATTAATGGTGATAGAGGAATTTATACCTATTTTACATATCCCCATGATTTGTCCTTTCTGTCCCCACCAAATATGACTAGGCCTCCTTTCTTGGACCTGAGGTCTAGGAACATAGACTTTCTGCCTGTCATGTGTCGCGAGCAGTCACTGTCCAGGTACCATGACTGGACACTTTTTTTTTTCTTGTTGAATAAATCTGCAACATGTATTATTTCAGTCTTTGGTACCCAAATGGATTTGGGTCCATAAATGTTAGCGTTTGAGGTTTTGGAATACCCCTTCTTGTGCATCTGGCTGCACTTGGGCGTCAGATGCCTATGCTTCCCATAAGTAGGATATGCAGATGTACTTGATTTATTTTCTGATTCATAATCAACATATCCTAATCCAGACTTATCATTTTTACTCTTAGAATATTTCAATAGATTTTCAAAGTTCTTAGTTCCTAGAGTAAACTTTGATAAATCAGATTTTAGTGATTCAATTTCTTTTTTAGCAGTTTTGTTTCTTCAAGACCTTTTTTTTATTCTTTTGATAATTTTGCATTTTCATTTTTGAGTAAAAGATTCTCTTCAAGTAATTATGAAATTCTTTTCTTCTGTTCTTTATATGTTGTAGAGATCTTAGCTGAATCAATTAGAAGCTGATTATATGCATGTTGAAGATCTTTGAAATCAGATTCACTAACCTCTTCATCGTCAGATTCAAATGATGAGTTTGTGTTTGCCATGAGACATATGTTCGCTTGTTCATCATCTTCAGATAATATTGTGTCTAGGTCTTCCTAGGTGCCCATCATGGCCTTCTTCTTCTTGAGGGGAGTTGACTTCTTCTTTTCTTTCTCCTTTTCTTTTTCTAATTTTGGACATTCTGTTTTGTAATGTCCTGGTTTCTTCCATTCATAGCACAATGGTCGTGCCTTTTCTCTTGGAGTTCTGTTGTATTTTCTCTAGCGTGATCCTCCTTTTTTCTTCATCATGGAATATATTTTTCTAGACAAGAAGGACATCTCATCATCTGAGTCACACGTCTCTTCGTCGTAGCTTTCATCAGACGCTTTTTCTACTTTTAAGGCTTTTGAGAATGATGATGTAGGTTTCGTCTTTTGCACACTTAGTGCAATGGACTTTTGTTTTCATCCTGCTTCATCTTGTTGTAGCTCCATCTCATGGACTTAGAGTAGTCCTATGAGTTCTTCCAGTGAGAGCTTTTCAAGATCCTTAGATGCTCACAGGGCCGTGACTTGGGGTCTCCACTTCCTAGGTAGACTACGAAGAAATTTGTCAACATGATCAAAATTATCATAAGTTCTACCTAGAAAAGAAAGTTCATTAATAATAGTTTGAAATCTTCCAAACATAGTTTGGATAGATTCGTTCTCTTCCATCTCGAAGAGTTCATACTTACGAACCAACAAGCTTAGCTTGTTGTGTTTTACCTTCAGGGATCCGTCATAGGTTATGGCTAGGAATGCTTTTCACTCAGTATTTGGATGAGTAGATGGATTGATATCCCATTTTAACTAGGAAAAATTATTTGTTTTTCTCGGTATTTGGACGAGTAGATTCAGGGATGTTCAATTTTAACTTAGAAAAATTATTAATGCTTTTCACTCGGTATTTGGACGAGTAGATTCATTGATGTTCGTTTTCAACTTGGAAAACTTATTGGTGCTTTCCACTCGGTATTTGGACGAGTAGATTCATTGATGTTCGCTTTCAACTTGGAAAACTTATTAATACTTTTTACTCGGTATTTGGACGAGTAGATGGATTGATATCCCATTTTTACTAGGAAAAATTATTTGTTTTTCTCGGTATTTGGACGAGTAGATTCAGGGATGTCCAATTTTAACTAGAAAAATTTTTTAGTACTCAAATGATTAGATTGTTTGTTATTTTGATATTCGGTATTTGCACGACAACACGCAAGCCAAGCTTAGAAACAAAAACGCTAACTTTTTAAGACAGCGGAGTCAACGAGTCAATATATTCTTGCAAAGCCGGAAGATTGAGAACAAACAACAAAGCTAAACATGTCCAAAAGGTAATGCAAAAAACAAAAGCAAGAAGACAAGATAGACGTTAATCATCCTCTGGGGGGTCGACGAGCTCTCCATTGATAATCTCCTTGAAATACCCAAGCCCCCCAAGGTCGACATCGGCATGAAGAAACCTCACTTGGGTGGTGGCAGCATCGAAACCTTCAGTAAACTTTTTCAGTGAGTCCATTTTCGCGGCATGAATATCACTTTGCAACTGCTCCACCTCCAGCTTCACCAAGGACAGTTGATCCTCGAAGATTTGGGCTGCATCGGCGCTCTTGTCACGAGAAAGTCGGGCCTCCACCAACTCTTTCTCAAGGGCAGCCTTCTCGGAAGCCCAAATCTTCCTCTCCTCATCAAAGCCACGTCGCCTTTCGAGCAAGTTATCTCGCTCATTAGCTAGCCACTTCAAATCGGCCTTGCTCTTGGCTAAGCTCTCCTCAAGAGACGAAATCTTTTTCCCTTGAAGTTTGGTTTCCCGCACCAACCCGCGAATCTTGTCGTCGTTGACGAGCGCAAGAGCAGAGAGGCGATTAGTCAATGACTCAATCCCCTTAGCAATGGAGAAAGAGCTCATCTTCTCCAAGTCCCTTTTATCGCCGTCGAGCAAGTCGGTCGCGCGAATGTGGGTAGATTGATTGAACTTCTCATCCCAAAACGAAGCAGCGCCGATTGGATCGGGGCCATGGTCCACTGGATCCCAATTTTCGCCCAGGCAAGCACTAACGGTCCGTTCAACGGATTGGACCTCGGTATCCCCCTTCTCAACCTCGTTGACTAAAACCGTTTCCAAGTTCACCATGGAGATGGCTTTCTCACCCTCGCGCCGACGCTTGTGGGAGGATTCACCAACTCCCCTCGCTACAGCAACAAGATTGTCGGTCTCGACACCCTTCTCGGTCACCGATTCGCCTATCACAGCAGTCTGAGATGCTTTCTGCTGCTTCCAGAGCTTGGCCAATTCCCGATTACTCATGCTCGCCATCCTATCTGCGCGACATTCGAGTAAACATTATATTAGAACCACAAATAAAGCATCATGAATAAATTGATAAGGCACAGAGGGTGATCGGTTAGGAACCAATTACCTATATATACTTTCAATTCGTAGGGCCTATTTTCTAAATCTAAGAGTTTAGCGGTGTTGAAAACTGTTTTTAATTCCTCGAGTTTCCTCACGTCCACTTGATCCTCCTCGGGAACCTCCTCGGGACTTAACCCACCACAGGGGTTCGTTTTCTCGTTCCAATACAAGGGATACCCTTTGAGTAAGTCCTCGTGGCCTGGACTACAACGCACTCGGAAATAGGATTTCTTGAAGTCCTTATAGGACGACTGGAAAAAGGTCAACATTCCCCGACCTGATACCCCATGGATGGACACCCAACTACTGCGTTTATTGATACGGCTTTCGAAAAAATAAAAAAATTTCCTTACGGTCGGGATTATACCGATACCCCCACACAAAATTTCAAAAGCTCGAATAAATGCCCAGCTATTAGGATGTAATTGAGTAGGAGCCACATTCAAAGCGCTCAAGACCCCCTTTTGGAAATCGGAAAGTGGCCACCTAACTTTAAGTTTCGAAATCAGAGTCGCATAGCAAAATGTAAAATCCCCAACATTACCACCCCTAACACACACAGGTTCCCTATCCACACAAGGCTCGCAAATAAGCGCATTATCACCCTCGATACACACCATGTGTTCCCTACAAAAACTATCCATCACAGCCCATGAATTCATCAGAGAAGTGCGACGAAGCACGTCATCTTTAACCCACTTATACATATCTCCATAACTTACGGCCTCCATGGTATAAACAAACTTGAACTTAAAGGGGGAACTAAAGGTCCTTTATAATCAAGAAAGGCCAAAGGGGTTTAGATAGGCGTACCTAAAGACACAAAAATGACTCTTTCTCACACAACAAATGCCACCGGAACGTAGAACACCACCGCAAACCACCGTAATGCAAAACGGAGCAGAGAGCTTCGCCGGAGAAAAGAGAATACAGATGGAGAGAATGGCAAAGGAGTTACGAATGACAAAGACCACCCCTATTTATAAGAGGCCAAAGGTCGCGCGTGGGGGGGGGGGGAACCGAAGGGATGCAACGCGCGTGGAATGTGGCAACCCTTAAACCCAAGGGACAAAAGGGGGGACCCACACCATTAGCTTTAGCAGCACGTTTGGCCACGTGGCAGAGTCATTATTCGCGCCCCTGCAACGCCGCTTTGTAATAAATGCCTGTCCCTCCTCGAGTCAGGTGAGAAGACACCCCCTTTCGTAGTGTAATGACCAGGTAGGGTTCCGACTCAGTGATCCTTCGCGGTAATGGGACGATCAACAACCCATTATTCGGCTATTATCCGACTAGATTGCCAGGCCCTAAGCCCTCTCGCCTCGCAGGCTCAAGGCTGGAAGGCAAGTGTGATGTCCTGGTCGGATTCCGACTCAGTAATCCTTCGGGGTAATGGGACGATCAATAACCCATTACTCGGCTACTATCCGACTAGATTGCCAGGCCCTAAGCCCTCTCGCCTCGCAGGCTCAGGGCTGGAAGGCAAGTGTGATGTCCATTCGGCAACAAGACGAGTAAGATCCCCTTCTCGGCCTTGTCCCGATTGAAGGCTCGGAATAGACCTACCCGCCTGCGAAAGGGATTACTCGGTATTTACCTTGATAGGCCTTCGGCACGGACCTGATTAGTGTACTGTCCAGGTCGGCTTCCGACCTAGTTTCTCATTCGGAAATAAAGCAAGTGAAACCACCTTCTCGGCATCTAACCTGACCGGGGATCCAGTACAGACCTAGTCGGTAATAGTCCGAGTTGACCCGTTAGACTCGGTTTCCCTTTGCCTACAAGGGAGCTACTCAGTACTTATCCTGCTGGTCCCCTAGTATGGGTCCAGTTGGTCGGATTCCGATTACGCTTGTTCCCGCTAATCCCGCGTCATCGTGATGAGAACGGTTAGGGAAATCCCTCGATCCTCGGGGCCCAAGAGGCCCATAAACGACGTACTATAAAACCCCAAAACCCTAGAGTTGAGAGGGCAGATTACACTTTTGAATGCTCTGGCTGTGAGGCTTGACCTAGGAAAAAACCCTAGTACACCCCGTGGCCGGAACAATAATATTAGATTCCCTCATAAAAATTGTGAAATATGTCAACTTCTCCAACTGCTCACAAATATCTGACAAAGGGTTGAAAGCTCTTACACACTGGTGTCGGCAGCTTCAGGCAATTAACATATCCAACTGTGAGGGCGTAAGTGGTGTTGGATTTGAAGGGTGTTCAAAAACTCTAGCTTATGTTGAGGCTGAGTCTTGTAAGCTAAAGCCAGAAGGGGTATTGGGAATTGTTAGTGGTGGAGGAATACAGTATCTAGATGTTTCTTGTTTGAGTTTGTCTCTTTTGAAAGATCCTTTATTTGGAATAGGCTTTGCCTCATGCCTCAAAATCCTTGACATGAGGCTGTGTAGAACTGTTTCTGATACTTCTGTTGTGGCAATTGCCAAGGGATGTCCACTACTTGAAGAATGGAACTTGGCCTTATGTCATGAGGTGAGGCTACCTGGATGGAGAGCTGTGGGGTCATACTGTCAGAATTTGAAGACACTGCTGCACGTTAATCGATGCTGCAATCTCTGTGATGATGGCTTGCAAGCTTTGAGGGAAGGGTGTAAAAATCTCTCCATTCTGTACCTGAATGGCTGTGGTCGCTTGACTTCTGTTGCCATAGAGTTGTTCAAGTTTCACAGAACTAGTGTTTGCATAAAGGAAATAGAGATACTTTGTATAAAGCCTTACTGGGAATTCAGTTGATAGAAATTTATTTATCAAACATTACATATATTCTCTTTCAAGAGAACAATCTGCATACAACTAAACTTTAATCGGTTGTTTGCATAGATATTTAGTTGTATAAAAGTACTTTAGAACCTCTGGTTTTCTTGCTATACATTATTTGGATGCTAAGGATGTAGTTATGTCACATATATATTCATTATGCATTTACATCTCGTACTGGATTTTTATTTATTTGCATAGGCATGATTCCATCCACCATGGCAGTAGCATGATTCACCACCCTTGAATGATGCACTTTACATTCCCTTCAAGTTTTTTAATTACAGAAAAAAGTTATATTATAAAGAAAAGATTAGTAACAGTTTTCAAATGATCACCTCTTGCCATTGCCAAGTTATCTTGTATCTTCGGTTACAACTATCCATACGAATAGGGTTTTATGAGTTTAGTTTTTTTTTTTAATGTATTTAAACTAAAAAATAAAAACCAACTGTATATACATATTTTTTTAACTATCGAAATTATGTTGAGGTCAACTCATGTATGAAGCAAAAAATTTTAAACAGTGAAGATTATCTTTTCAAATTGAGGCTTGGTAAAAATGTTTCAGACAATGGAAAATGTCTTATTTTATGTAACACAAAACAACTTTTGACATAATTATTTTTTAGCTTTAAAAAAAATTACTAAACGATGCCTACATCCAGATTTCTTTTATATTTTGTGTTCTATTTAATTAATAAAGTGCGGACAATTTATAGTGAAAATTAATGTTTTATTATATCAGTGTTTTATACTAAGATCAAGATGCGTCTTTAGATAAATTAGATTCTCAAACAAATTTATTTAAAAATTTAATTTAATTTACATACATTCTCAATGTATTTTTTTTTTTTTTTTTTTTTTTGCAGTTATCCTATAAGAATGTATACTAAGCCGTATCATATTAAGATGTGACAAGAGTGAATTTCTACTGTAAGTCCGTGTGATAAAAATCATATTGATAATGTATATAAATATTTAAATATCTTTTTAATTCTCAAAAGTTTCATGAATTTTATGTTTGTAATTAAAAATATTTTATTTTAGTTTTTATACATTCTGTTTTTGTTTTCATATAATTCTTATAATTTCATAAATTTTACCTCTTAGTTCTTACAATAATAAATGATAAGAGATAAATGAAACAAAAATGATATATAATAAATAAAATATAATTTTAATTTTAGAGACTAAAAGATAAAATTTATAAAATTATAGAGATAAAAAGATATTTAAGCTTATATAAAATAGAATTTAATAAATATGTATGGTATGCAAAATATCTTATATAATTAATCATTAAATCATTCTTAATATTATTTGAGTTAGTTATTAAAAAAGTCTATAAATTATCATATCAATTTTTTTTATTAGTTTATAATATAAAAAGTCTTTACATTATTAATTTATATATTTTTTTCAAATTAAATTCTAAAATAATTGTATCATTAGTAAAAAACTAATGCAACTAATAATTAAAAATAAATAAATCACGCATAACAACCAATATAGAAAATTTGGCCATCCAAATTGAGAATAGCTAAAACCAGCTAGTTCTGGGGTTTAATATAGTAAAGGTTGATGATTTATACACCTCTTTTTTTTATTTTTTTTTATAAGTACACTTTTTTTTTTAAATAATTAAAATTTTAAAATATTTTTAATTTTTAATTTTTTAATTTTACATCTACAATATTTAATTTAGTATTCTTTTTTTCACATATCTTCCTTTTTTTTCTTCAATTTTTACATGCACCTCCTTTACCTTTTTTTCACCCTACCTATTTTGGTAGCATGTGAAAACTAAAAGAGAAAAAAAAAGTGTGTGAAAAAAAAGAAGAAAGTAGCAAATTAAAAATTGAAGGTATAAAATTAGAAAATTTAAAAAAACTACAATATTTATAATTTTAAAAAAAAATAAAGAAGGTGTATTTAAAAAATAAAGGAGGTGTATATATCATTAGCCTTTTTATAAGTGTACCTCCTTTATCTTTTTAAAAATTATAAAATATTATCATTTTTATTTTATTTTTTTAATTTTGCACCTTCAACTTTTAATTTGCTACTTTCTTTTTTTTTCACATACTTTTTTTTCTCTTTCAATTTTCATATGCTACTAAAATAGGTAGGGTGAAGGAAAGGTAAGGGAGTACATGTAAAAATTGAAGAAAAAAAAAATAGGGAAGATGTGTAAAAAAAAGTACTAAATAAAATATTGTGGGTGTAAAATTAAAAAATTAAAAAAATTAATTTTTTTTTAAAAATTTAATTATTTTTTTAAAAAAGAGGTGTACTTATAGAAAAAAGGAGATGTATATATCATGAACGGTTGATAATATATACACCTCCTTTTTTTTATAAGTACACCTCCTTTTAAAAAAAAATTAAATTTTAAAATATTCTTAATTTTTTAATTTTATATCTATAACATTTAATTTAATATTTTTTTTTTCACACATCTTACCTCTTTTTTCAATTTTATACGCACTCTCTTATCTTTCTTTCACCTTACCTATTTTGGTAGCATATGAAAACTGAAAAAGAAAAAAAAATGTATGTGAAAAAGAAAAAGAACGTAACAAATTAAAAATTAAAAATGTAAAAATATAAGATTTTAAAAAAAGAACTATAATATTTTATAATTAAAAAAATATATAAAGGAGGTGTACTTAAAAAAAAGGAAGTATATATATCATGAGCCATCATAAACCAATAGTAAAACCAAGCTAATAGGCTCAAACCCTAGACCCATTGGGCCTGTAAAACCCTAAACCCATTCTGACCCGACCCCCCCAAAACAATACCTTATAAGCAAAAAACACTTGCTAACCCTAATTCATTCTCACACTTTTTTCCGTCACGTTCGGGGGAAGAGATCGAGCTTCACCGCAATGGTGCGTATCCGATCCTTCTTCTATCTCCTCCGTAGCATGTTTACCTGATATGTAGAGTGTGAATTTCGGTTTTTTATGTTCCGTTTCGTCTACGTTCCAATGTTTTGCATTTATAGTTTTTCAGGCTCTGTCTGGTTTCAAAGAATGGTGTTTGTGAATGTTAAGGTTTCTGGGTAATTTTAGTGGAAGTCAAGGTTTTGAGTTATGGTGGGGTTTTGTTTCTTGTTTTAACTTCCATGTGTTGAGTTTTTATGTGTTTGGTAGCTCGTAATGGATCTGTTTTAATCAAATCTCTGCATTTTATGTGGCTGTTCCTATGCTTTTTAGTTTTTTTTTTTTTGACGTAATTTGTATCAACGTTTTATTGGGTGCGTATTGAAGGTGTATGTTAAGGCTCAGAAATCAAAAGCCTACTTCAAGAGATATCAAGTCAAGTTCAAGAGAAGAAGAGGTAATTAATTGTATTTGTTTACTTTGATTCGTCGTGTCCTGGTGTTTAATGTTGCTTACTTTGTTTATAATGGTGATTTTGTTGTACGCAGAGGGAAAGACCGATTACCGAGCCAGAATTCGGTTGATTAATCAGGACAAGAACAAATACAACACTCCAAAATACCGCTTTGTTGTTCGATTTGTATCCTTTCGTTATCGATCTGTTAATTATTCCATCAAGTGATGGATTTATGTGCTTAAAATGTGTTCACATTGAATCAAGGATTGAAGTTATTTTTATGAAATTTATCTGTGAGTGATCTTAACCTGGTTACTAGACCAACAAGGATATCATTGCCCAAATAGTATCTGCTAGCATTGCCGGTGATATCGTTCTTGCTGCGGCATATGCACATGAGTTGCCACATTATGGTCTTGAAGTAGGCCTTACAAATTATGCTGCAGGTGCTTTGTTTATGAGGAAATCCTTCCTCTCCTACCTATCTCTCAATAAATTTTGTGTGCTTATCTTTTCACTCCTGTTTGAATATCTTATAATGCCTCCAGCTTACTGCACTGGGCTCCTGTTGGCCCGAAGAGTCCTAAAAATGCTTGAAATGGACGAGGAATATGAAGGAAATGTTGAGGTATCTATGCTTTTTTGTTGTGCTGTGTGCAATTCTGTGTCATTGTGTCGTATTTTGAAGTTAATTGGATGTTTCCCTTTTATTAGGCTACTGGAGAGGATTTTTCAGTGGAACCTGCTGAGACCAGGAGGCCATTCCGTGCTCTCCTTGATGTTGGTCTTATCAAGACTACAACTGGCAATCGTGTCTTCGGTGCCCTTAAGGTAAATTATGAAACTGCGATGCTAATTGGTGTGATTTTGTTATAATAATGGTGAGATTGAATAATTGTGATGGTTTTCAGGGAGCTCTGGATGGGGGTTTGGATATTCCTCACAGTGACAAGAGGTTTGCTGGCTTTGATAAGGATAAGAAGGAGCTCGATCCTGAGGTTCATCGCAAATATCTCTTTGGAGGACATGTTGCTTCCTATATGAAGGCATGAGTGAAGATTTTATTTAGTACCTGTCTGTTGAATTGTTTAATGCAATATTTGGAGTTGTCGGTCATTTGTCTGACAACCTGTTCTTTGTTTTCTGCAGACGTTGATGGAAGATGAACCAGAGAAATACCAGTCACACTTCAGTGAATATATCAAGCGTGGACTAGAAGCTGATGGTCTTGAGGCACTGTACAAGAAGGTTCATGCTGCCATCCGAGCTGATCCCACTATCAAGAAATCTGAGAAGCAGCCCCCGAAGGAACACAAAAGGTAAAATTGGTTTTTGAATTTAGCTTGAGTGCTAGATTCTAGAATAGAGTAAATCATGTATCTAATTTGTCATTTGATTTCCATCAAATTGGTTTGAACCTGTAGCTGGCTTGGTTTCATTTGCTTTTTTTTTCTTTCAATCTTGTGTGACCATATAATATATTTTTAAACTTTCTGTTTGGTGGCTTAACCTTAGTTTTTAGGGATTGGATCATTTGAACACGTTCCTGATAGTATCTGCTTCTTTATGCAGGTACAACTTGAAGAAACTTACTTATGAGGAGAGGAAGACCAAGTTGATTGCACGCCTTCAGGCTCTCAACTCTGCCGCTGATGAAGATGAAGATGATGAGTAAAGCTTCATTTCAGATGCCTTGCCATTACGGCACAAGTAGAAGCTGTCTTATTTTGCGTTTAGAGAACCATTTTCTTGAAATTTTATTGGCCTGTGCTATTTATTTTTAGGTCGAAAATTTTGGATACTTTTTGGAGTTGAGTAAACCTTTTTTTGGTCAATTTCGTGTTAGCCTGGATCGATGTTTTAGCTTATTTTCACAAGAAATGCTCGTTTACATAAAACCAGCCATTGTTAACATGTGGTCCCAGGTTGTGATTGTTTGGTAGGTAATATGCACCCATTTCCTCTATCCGCCTGGAAATTTTATGCCTTTCTAGCGGATACAGGTACAATCGTTATTTTTTAAACTAGAAAGAACGAATAATTAATTTTTGTAGCCCAAAAAATAAAAGTTAAATTAGAGTGTGAAGTCACAGAGCCAGTGATATTTAAACGGCAAATGAGTTTAAGAAATGTCTATTTAAAATACCCGTATTTTGATGTATGAATATTGACAAGGATATCTCAAACTAACATGCCAATGTCAGTCAAATGGATTAAATCTTTGTCTCGTGTCCTTATGTTTGTTTTAAATTCTACTGGCTAGCTCCATTATTCGTCTAGTGTACAACTTCATTTGCTTAACTTCATATTTGTAAAATAATATTTTAGTTGACATTTGTTTAATTTTTTGCGGTTAGATCACGAGTAATTAATTCTTTTATTCAACATTGCTTTCATCTATCTTTACCTGAAAATTTCTACATTTTTGTGTATTGGTATGTCCGTCAATTACACTTCATTATTTTCAAGTTAATTGGTAAGATAAGTTTTTTATGTAGGAATTATGATGCTTATCTTTGGTAAAGAGAAAAGAAATAGGAAAAATAAGATAAGTGGAATGAGAAATAGAGTAAAAATTGAAGTTATTTGAAAGAAGAAAAGTCGAAGAGAAATAACTTTTACTAAGTATTATATATATATATATATATATATATATATATGGGAGCATATCAAGTGAGAGGGAATTTATTATGAGAGATGAGAGGATTAAAATATAACCCTTATGGTATGTTTGGATGAGGAATTTATATGGGGTAATTCATTTATTTGAAGAATTTCAAATTCTTTGAGGTGAAATGCTTTGTTTGGATGAGGAATTTACAAAGAATTTGAAATCCAATCATTTGTGAAATTCCTTAAAATAGTAGAATTTCAAATTCTCCCAAAAATGGAAGAATTTGAAATTCCTCATATTTGTTTTTCTTATTTTACCTATATATTTTATCTTATCTCTTCATTTTTTTAATTATTAGATATTCAAAAATATTTTTAAAATTGTTAAACATTATTTAATATTAATTGTTAAAATTATTAAATATTATCTAATATTAATTTTTAAAATTAATAAATATTTAAAAATGGATTAGTATTTATTTTTATAAAATTTAATTTAAAAATCTCAACATATAAATATATTTTTAAAATCAATTTTACTGTGATGAAATAAAATTATCATATTCAACCTAACAATTTAAAATTTAAGAAATTTGAATTGATTCATCCAAACAAAATATTTTAAGAATAAGAGAAATTGAAATCAAAGTAATTCAAATACCAAGAATTTAAAATTCCTTGAATTTGTAAAATTCCTCATCCAAACACACTATATTTTAACCCTCTCAAGTGAGAGAAAATTTGAGGTTTAATCAAGTGAGAGAAAATTAATCTAAAGGTTATATTTTAACCCTCTCATCTCTCATAATAAATTCCTTCTCACTTGATATGATTCCTCTCTCTATATATATATATATAAAAGGAGGGTTCAAGCGATACCGGCATAATTTTTATTAAGTATTACACCGCTTAATATTATTATATTAAATGTAAATTTTGTAAATCTAACTGTTAGATTGAAAATTTTACTCTTAGATCATAGATACAAAATTTTATATTATTTCAAGATGATTTTATACTTCATTCTTATAAAACAAAATTGACGTAATATATTTATTTCAAAATATATTAAAATATGAACACTTTGATTACCTTCAAGTTGTTCAATTCTTACAAAATTTGATAGAAACATATAAAGTGATATGTACTTTCAATCTAACGGTTTGATTTATAAAATTCATTTAATATAAAGTTATTGAGCGGTGTAATACTTAGTAAAAGTTATACCAGTGTCGTTTGAACTCTTCTCTATATATATATATATCAATCATGTCAACATGTGAAATTCTTAAAAGAAAAGTTTATAAAATTTTAAAACAAATATTATTTATCTATCTTAAAATAATCATTAAGACTAAAAATAATAATTTTAGATCTTATATTAAAAATTAAAGAAAAATATTTTATAGAGACTAAAATTAAAATTTGTTCATTTTATAAGGACTACCAAGTTAATAATTCCAAGTTTTAGAGGATGAAAAACAGAATTTTTTTTAAGAACTAAAATTAGAACTTGTTCATTTTACATTAATTAAAAATGTATTTTAAGTTTACTTTTATATTTAAATAAAGAGAATATATTCACTTACCCTAAGAGTAATATTACTTAGACTTACTCTACTTAATAACTTATATTCTACATCAAAATTTAACGATCAAACTGTTAAATTAAAAATTCGTAATACATAGATCAAGTTTGTAAATTCTTAAAAAAAAACTATTTAATATTCCATTTCACTAATTCAAATTCACAAATGTGATATTATTAAAAGAATCAAACCACTATTCAGATGGCATCTAACCTTATTCTCTCATCAATGAACAAAGATTAATGAACATGATTGTCACATTGTTGAGTAGAAACTTCAATAACCACCTAATTTTACTAGTCAGGTATGGACTGGAAAGCAGTCATAGTAAATATTTTTAACCAGGCTTTCTGTACAAGAAAGAGTAGATTATATTTGTAACAAATTAGGCATGATTATAATATGCCTCAGCTTGAGAGAATGTTGATTAATAATTTGTTGTGAAATAAGTTATGGGTTGAGTACTATACTACTATAGCAAATTATTAGTACAAATGCACATAAAGAAAGCCTAATCAAAGCGAACGTTTAATACCCACCAGTATTGGCTGACACCCCAGAACAGAAATAAAGATGAAAATCAGGAAAAGCTTCATAATATACACATGCAACCTAATTCAAACCACTCGCATAAACTAAAACATTAATGTCACTAAACCCGTGTTCTAACATAATAACTTCATTTTTGGATGAAGGTGGCAAAAATTAAAAGGTTCATTCAATTCAATATGATTCTACAGAAATGACCTATGCTCAAAACACTACTTCATAAATAGATGGTTCACATCATGCTGTTGCTCAGAGAGTAATTTAATCAATACGGAATGTTATCCTGTCAAGATGAATGATCAGGAGCTTTCAAAGTCTCGTGAACTGCTGAAAAATCAAGGTCTCCCAACCCCATGCTTCTGGCTTTCTTGAAAGCCTACAATACAAACATAGTTCAAACTTTAGTTCCCTTATGAAACCTCTATGACAGTCATTAAACATAAAAGCAATAGGAGACAAAAAGGGTTCCATCACTTTTTTATCAGCATTGGTAAAACTTCATAGGCATGTGAAGCATTGAAGTAACATGCAATCAATAAAGAGAGAAAAAGAGTTGATATATTTCCGGATGTACTTTTTATGACCTGAATCATTACACCACAATCAGAACAATGTGAATAGTTTATCAGAATATCAAATTGCCATATAGCAAGGGCAGCTCAAGTATACACAAAATTAATCTTCCATTAATTTTAACTCTTTATTATTTGTAAAATAAAAACCATTTAAGCTGGTGAAAAATGCTTCTGCGTCTGACAAGTCTGGAATTTTTTACAATGGAAGCCAACTCTGATGTTCTAGTGAATCAATCAAAGGCTCACTTGGTGGATAGGTTACTCCCACCCCAGGGTTCTACTTGTTATATGTGTGAGTGCTATCATAGGTACGGAAGTCAAATTGTGTCTAGAACATATACTTCAAACTCAAAAGGATGCATGTTATGATTTGTTTATTAAAATGGGAATGTTAGGATCTAAGCCAACTGACAAGAATGCATGATAGTAAAACCAAACTTGAAACAAATTTGAAAGAGCAGTGTTTTGATCCTTAAACTACATGGGGTTTGTTCTTCCATGGCAATCAGAATATTACTATCACAACCTTACTTCACAAACTGCGATGTAGCTGCAGGTAAGTTTGATAGCATGGAAAAGACATTTAAGTGGGGTTACTTATTTAGATGCAGCCACTATAGTAATTTTATTATTATTCACTGGGATTGCAGTCATGTAAACTAAAGACGCAGTTTCTGATGGTCTAATTTTTTTACCACAGAAAGAAAATATGAGAAAAATAGCTTTACCTCGTTTGCTGCAGCTGCTACGGGCATTGATACAGCATTTTCATCTCCAAGGGCAAGTGCTAATCTCATGTCCTTCTGCTGGTGTTTCAGTGGAAAAGCTGGGGGATAACTGTTTTTGAGCATTGTAGGTCCTTTCAATTTAAACATGCCATTACTCATGGCACCGAGATCCTGTAAAGTGCAAACAAAATTTCCCAAATTAGGCTTTAGAATAATAATAAAACGTAGCAATAAGAATCTTAGTGGTCAAAATCACTTACCAGCACATCAAGAAGAGTTCCAGGGCTCAAACCACTTCTTTCAGCTAGTGTGAGTCCCTCGGAGAAAGCATTCATCATACTGTAACAGAATAACTAATTTACAGAACTAAACAGAAAATATGGACATGGAATCTATTTGGCTTGCAACCAAAGAAGGATCACTACTAATACTGCAATCTGGACGAATTCTTTTTGCTTTCTGATTCATAAAATGCTCTGAACTAAAGCTGCGGACTATCAACCTATCCACTCCCAAATAAAAAAGTGATAGAGCCAAGAAAAGGGGGGAGGAAAAGATTACCTTCCCATTATCATGTTAACAACAAGCTTCATTTTTGCACCATTTCCAACCTCACCCAGAAAGAAAGACTTCTTCCCCAGTACATCAAATGCTGGGAGTACTTCATCATACAATGCCTACATAATAAAAGAATCAATCATAAATTTAATATACAGAAAGATACAAAGAGCATATTTATAGTTTTATATTCTCCTCAAGATGGAGTATTTCATGATAAGGAATTTGAATGAGAGCACTTATACACATTACTTGGAATGAAAACTAGAAAAGTGATTATTGTTTTTAAATAATTAAAAAGTAGAACAAGGATTACTATTTATACAGCGTGACCAATCAATCCGAATAAAGGAATAAATCTAATTAAATCCGTACAAAATGAAATAGTGTACATAATTCATATTCATATTTTACACATGTGACACATCATATCAACCAAACCTGAACTCATAACTAAACACCCAACTTCAACCAACAACCACAACCACAATAGTAATGCATTCTTCATAACTACATAGAATCATAGATGCTTATTCAAGTGTATCAAATCATCAGTTATACTAATATTAAGCACAAATATTAAATGAATGTTTTTGTTTAAAATAATGTGATTATCATTGCTGTTGAGAGACATAATATAAACCATTCATATGTCTTCACTTAAAAATTTGTGCTTTGGGGAGAATTGTTTCTTGACACGGCATCAAAGCCTATGCAATAATGCATTTTAAAACTGGTTCATGACAATTTCCTTTGCAACTTAGCTTTTGGGATTGTTAGTTTATGATTATTACTTTTGCTTGTGTTTTAAAATTGACTGGCAGGACCAACACAGTATTTTCAAACTTTCTAATTGAGAGTTCTTGATGCTGTCAGTAGCTAGTCTGTATAAAAATAAGCAATTGATGTTTCCATAATTCAAAAAATATTACATTCACATTTTTTGTCATCAGATTGCATTTTACAACACTAAATACTGCTTAAATATCTTTAATGAACATCAATGTATTTTGTTCTGGGAACTCAACTATTTGCATTGAAAGGTCTAAAGGGCATAAAATGGATGCTAATGTATCTTATGCATGCTATACCCTGAAAATTCCCAGCCATGAAAGCATGTTATACAAAGGAGAGAAAAGGTGAATGAAAAATTCAAGTCCTTCAAATTATTAAAGACAAAACATGCAAGAAAGATGACTAAAATTTTATCCACATTTGTTGAGTAACATTTCGAAATACCTTGTCCCCAGCAACGAGTATTATTAGTTGGCCATCTTCTGCAGGCTTCTTGCTACCCGAAACAGGAGCTTCAAGGAAATAACCACCTTTTGCTTTGATTGCCTGTAGATATTAAGTCTGTCAATGATAACTTATCTAGGGACTTCTTTCCATAATCCATTTTCATTTCCATTTGAAAGGTTGATTAGGTACAATGCCAAGCTCTGGCTTATGCAGTTATGCATATAGCATGAACAAGCAAAGATAGTACGCTACAGTGAACTTCACATGGATAAAGAGAACTAGCATACACGCGCGCACGCGCGCGCACACACACATAAATATATAGAGAGAGAGAGAATGGATCAAATTACTCCGAGAGTAACTCTTGGTAAAATTACCATATACAATAATTCATGATATATGTTAAATTTCAACGATCTAACTGTTAAATTAAAAGTTCTAAATACATAGATCAAATCTACAAAATTTTAAAAAAAATTGAAAACTATTTGATATTTCATTTCATTAATTCAAATTGACAGAGAATCATAAAAATATTTTATACGTTGATTTAAATCTATATAACAAAATACCATATGATTTTCAAACTTGTTAAAAATTTGTAAACTTTATTTATACATTAAGAACTTTTAATTTAATGTTGGATCATTGAAATTCAACATACACTATGAGTTATTGAATGGAGTATTTTTACCAAGAATTACTCATAGAATAATTTGATCTCTCCTCATATATATATGGGTATAAAATTGCAAATATTCAAACACACTACAGCAAGAATCTTCAAATAGTATAATTTATTGAATTCCCATTCACATTTACACAATTAGGAAAGTTTAACTTCATATCAAGTATTCCTCACCCAAAAAGAAATCCCCAGTTCTGTAGACTTCCCGCCTAACTTCCATAAAATAAATTTTTTTAATGATTGAATTCCAAATAGTGACTATAATCACAAACTAATAATTAGATAAAAATTTGTGATGCATGGTATTAAAAAGGATGTCCCCACAATGTAAATTTCAAACAACATTTACATTAATCTTATTTAAATTTAGGGAAAAGACAGGAGGAGGATTTGGGAACCATGTCTTAGCTATGAAATGAATTAAAGATAAGAGGGCTCGAGGATGAGACAAAATACAGAATAGAAATGGCTTAAATTTTCACAGAAAATACCCCAAGTAATATGAAAACAATGTCATGCAACATTAACAATTCTAGCCTCTCTTTCATATACAACAGAGATCAATAACAGAATATTTTTTGAAAAGTTCGGCCTTCAGACTTGACAAGATTTTACATAAATCACAAGTAAAATAATTCTCGAACAGACAAGAAAATGTTATGAATTTTAAATGAAGTAAAAATACATTTTTAACACCAAGCTGGGTATACCAACCTCGGATATCTTGGAAGATGTATCAGCATCAACTGTGGACATGTCAATATAGCATTTCCCATTAATATGATCAAGAACACCATCTTTATCAAATACAACCTAGATAATCACCACAAATGGTATTCAAATAAGGGCAAAAAAAGAGGTTGTATGTCAAAAATAATATACACAGCCACTGACCGATAATGCAGCAGAAGGATCAGATAACATTGCAATTGTATACTTGCATTTCTTGACTACAGCTGCTGGGGTTTCTCCAACTGAAGCACCATGTTCCACGAGTTCATTACACTACAATTAGAGATTGCAACAAACATGAGTTAGGACTCTCTTAAGTTCAGTTCAGTGCATTAGACCAGTGGAAGAGCATTCAAATTAAAAATTGGTGAGATAAGGCTTATTTTGAGAGCTTTATAGTATAGAAATAATACAAAATTATAATATGCTGACTACAAGGTATATCTTACGAGAACTAAAAACCATTCATACAAGTGATTCGCAATTGTGCTCCTTAACCAAGGAGCTCGGACTTAGAGTCAAATACGGAGGTACCAGTACTACTTTACACCTGTAAGAGCCAACCCGGTAGGAAGGAGATATATCTCCTCATTAAACTTAAAAATAAAAAATAAAAAATTAAAAAAAGGTATATCTGATGAGGATCTGAATCCTCTAGAGTGAGTAAATTAAGCAATCTCAGTCCTTAACAAGAAAATCAACAGTTGACTTTGTGTGTGTATGTATAACATCAACAGTTAATTTTCTCATGATGGATTAAAAATACTTACTTTACCCTTAATTACTTTAGAGAGCCAATCCATCTCATAAAGTGTTCAGTAGAACAATTTTGTTATTACACTTACCTGATATAATCTAAACAAATAAATTTCCGGTAAAAACCTGGAACAAAAATGACACAGCACACAACTTTCTGGATTCATTCCTTGATGTACGATAATGGCACATGAAAAAGAAACTATGCTATAGAGCCCCAAATTAAAATAACACAAAAATGCACAAAATTATATTAACCACAACAAGCAACCAGTATTATGGAAGAACAGACACCAAATAGCAGAAGAGGGTGGCTCCATCCGTTAAACAAGAAGTACAAAATGAGTTGCATATATATACCTTGGAGAGGGTTCTGTTCCACACAGTGACTTTGAAACCATGGCGTAGAAGATTGATTGACATGGCCTTGCCCATTATACCCAAACCCAAGAATCCAACCTCCATCTCTCTCTTCTGATCTCTCACACTCTCTTCCTCACAACTCCACAAGAAAAGCCTCTTCCTTTACCACAACACAAATATCAGCCTCACTATTAATAGATAAATAACATATTTTTTTACTACTGTTTGGGTAAGAACATGACAAAAATCATGACATGCTAGTTTTTTTTAATATGATTAATTATGTTGTAAGACTTTCAAAATTTTTGAGGTATATATTCTTTTTTCTTTAGAATTTAAAATTTGTTTTTTTCTCTAAAATATATATATAAGTAATTATTTTGATTTTTTAAATTTAAAATTTATCCTTTTAATCTTTCAAATTTAAAATATATAATTTTAGTCCTAATATATAAAAAAAACATTTTAATTTCTATACAAATGTTATTAATTAATTTATTGCATAAAAATTATTTTTAAAGTCATTATCAATAAAAATATTATATTAGTCCAAATAATAATACAAAATTATTTTAATATGTCATTATTAATTGTGTTATTATTTATACTATAAAGCTTGTCTTAATTTACAAAACTATCAATTATATTATTATTAATGTTGTTGTCAATGAAATTTTATATTAAATCAATTAATAATATATAACTACCTTATAATATGTCATCATCAATTATATGATTAGTAATCATGAGAAATTAAAATAATATTTTTAAAATTACAAAGATTAAAATAATAAACTTTAAATTTAAAAAATCAAAATACTAATTTTATATTTTGAAAATTAAAAACACATGTTTCATATTTGAGAAATAAAAAAAATATAAACAGGCACTAAAATATTTTGTTTTTTAAAATTACATGAACTAAAAACATGAATTTTAAATTTGAGAAGAAAAAAAATAAATATCTTAAATTTAAAAGACTAGAAATATAGTTAAACATTTTTTTTATAAATAATTAAAAACATTTAATTTATAAATCCTATGAATTTTGAGAGTAAATAACTAGTATTAAAAATTTGTTATCAACTAATTAAAATTTGTTATATTTTTAATTTATTATTACAAATGTTTAATATTTTATCAAACATGATAGTTTATAACCACTAGGGTTAGTTTAGTGGTTGAGTGGGGAGGAATTGGATAGTGAAAAGTATGGGAACCTATGTTCAATCTTTATTGTAATCATCTTTGTAATCTTTTCTATTTAAAAAAAACATGATAATTTATAATCAACAAAAAAACATAAAAATATATTATTAACATATTTTGATTAAATTTTATAAATTAATTAATGTCTATAATTCTCTCAAACAAAAAAATCAATGTCAATAATAACAATCTAAAAATAAAAACAATGTTGGGAGGGCTGAAACTAGTGTTATCTTGTACAACTTTGATAAATGTACATAGATGATTTATTATGAATAATATTTTATTATTTTTTTCAATTACATTATGCATTATATTTTTTTTCTTCTGTTTTTGTTGTATAAACTATTATATACTTTGATATATATATATATATATATATATATATATA